GTTTTTTTATAAAAATATAATATAAAAATAATATAATAAAAGAGTGCCGTTATTAGCAAAGTTCTCAATAAAATTATACTGAACTGCACTGTTGTGCCACTAAATGGATTTCTTAGAAGACACTAAATATATCAAGTATATACCTATATCAAAATATTAAGTATTCATTAAAAACATCTGACTAAATTAAAAGAGATAATATTTGAACGGTTTTAGGCAAACAAGACACACTACAGATTTAGAAGGTACAATAGATTGTAGAAAATGACAAACATTATGAAGTATGATAATCCTTCTATTAAACTACGAAACAGACCTTAATCTAATCAGATCCAAGAAATCTCTTGTCCAACCTTTAAGTTCCTAAGAACGAGCACGAAATAAATGACAATATTACAATAATGATAAAATTAAGATAAAAAAAATTGTTATCAAATTAAAGTATATTGAATATATTTAAAAACTGAACAATAACGGGAAGCGATCTAGTATCAAATAAGCATTCTTTAAAACTCAAGCTTCATGCAAATAATACATATATTAAAAAGTCATATTTATTATGTACTACTTATTTAAGTCTTAAGGTATTAGTAATTCTGTTTAATTGAAACTCGTTTTGCTTTACTATATTGTTTTAATAGAATCCTAACAAAGTTAGAGATCCAATCCAACTCAGACTGCTGATACCGTAGACAAGAGAGGGAAACCGCATATCATATGCTAGGGGATTGCCCGGCACTAATGCATAAGAAAACAAACATCTAGGAGGGTATTTCATGGAACATAAAGATTTAAGACTAGGGTAAGCTCTATACTGTATTTCATATAAGAAATTCGACTTGGTGAAATATTCCTATGCGACTAAGGGACACAATAGATTTTTTATGTCGCAGTGTAATATCCCTTTTTTATAATAATAATAATAATTTAATAAAAACATTATACTCTTCATAAAACTTCGCTTTTAATCTATTGTATAAATAAATATCATTCAATTATTTATAAAAATATTTCGAAAATTAAAATAAGACTTAATAAATAAACTGTTGCTCTCTATATTTCTGCAAGGATTTACATTCTTAGAATTGATTCCATATGATTTTGCGTATAACGCGTTGCTACGCAATATTGCTCCGCCTTTTATAGGTAACTTCATACATTTTGCATGGACCAATAAGAGGAGATGCAACAAGCGAAGATTGGCCTTAACACTGATCTCCTTAAAACAATGCCAAACCATTCTATTGAAAAAACAACTAATATTTTAAATTGACCTATTTTCCTTGTTTAATATTTAAAATTACCTAATATTTTAACCACTATTTAAACTATATTTAACCAAATTAACAATTTTGTGTAAGGACATGCAAAAGCCAAACCTTTTTGCGGTATACTCCAATGTTGTTCTTGTGCATTTAAAGCAAGAAGTCTCCAAAATTTATATTAAAAAGCACACCGGAAATTATTTAGGGTAAGGTGTTGAGTAAGGTGTAGGCATTAGTTGTCTACATTTATACTTAGATAAATCTAACAAAACCATAACAACAAGCTACAACATATTTTGTTTTATTGAAAGATGTTACACCCAACACCCAATCCATGTAGACTAGAAGCAGTACTCAAATTTCTATACATGTGTAGACTTTTTGGAGACGGCGCACTACAATGTTTTGGTTATAACAAACCATAATAGAAGCAGGAAATATGTTAGTACATTCATGTCGTAACAGTGGCTGGTGCATTAAGTAACTGAATTGAAGTATGGGTAGCCGCTACCGGTGCTGAAGAATAACCGGATTAACAACAACAAAATGTAATAAAAACAAATAATGTAGCAAATTTATAGGAAAGAGAAAAACTATAAATGCGAAAATAGAATAACAAAAAACAGATGTTGTTGTTTTTGCATATGATTGATTGGAAGTACAATAGCTCATATTCTGGAATATGAAGACAGAAAGGAAATAGTATGCAAAACCCAGTAATGTAGGCGTGAAAGTGTGATATATTTGGTCAATTTTTTTTTTTTTATTACATTTCCTCTCCTGTTTTTTTCAGACTACATTTGTATTCATGAAACGATGTTACAATAAAAAAAGAAGAAAGAATGATATTAACCTATGAGACCAACAAGTTTGGTCTGGTTTTTATCAGTAACATTCATTAAATTTAACTAATTATCAAAAAAATACTTATGTTACCATTATTAATTTAATTTAGAAACAAGTTATAGTTACAAATAAGGTATTTAATAAGGTAATGTGAACATAAATAGTACAAAATTTCAAACTTTTCGAAAAAAATTCTGTAAATAAAATATTTATATCGAAATACTTCAATTAATGTTTATGTATCTTCTGCATTTCTTGCGACTTTCAATCTTTGATCTGAGTTAGAAAATGGGACTTGCATTACAACAACCATTTTTCATCTAATATTATTGTTAGAGAGATATTTTGACCTTCATAAGGAATGTCTTCTATTCGATTAACACCAATTGTTGAGCTCTTCATAAAGTATATATTATGGGCGCAGAACCCAACTATTGCCAAATAATAGTTGAGTAATAAGTAGTAAAAACACGGGTTACACATTCAGTAGTAAAGACAATAGAAAAAACAGGAACTTTTATTAATATAACAATATAAAATTAATCAATTTTTAAGCACAGTTATATTTCTATAAACTTTACTATATTGATAACATTAGTATATTTCTATAAACAATAATATTTCTTTAACACCCACTCCACTGGAAGCACAGAAATATATAAACTCCTCTCTATATGTCTATTTAATTTTTAATTTAGTTTTATTTAATATAATTTCTATTTGTTTTCTCAACAATAAAGATTTTTGAAACGAAAAACATTATTATAGTTTTATAATAATATTCTAAAATATATACATTATCAATGAAAAGTCAAGTTAACATAGGTTCAGCTTACTAGAAACATTGCAGTGATAAAAAACAGAAGGGATTCAGAAAATGAATATCAAAAAATGTACATTTAACAAATGAAATACTAAAATTTCGTTAAATCGTTTAAAATGTATATATATATCAAGTCATAATGATCACTTGATGACAGAACAAATGAAACACCAGAACAACGTAGTGCGTATATTGAAGCAAGTCGTGTTTAAATGGCTAAGTTTGTTAGGAAAAAGAGTAATCATCGGAAATGTGTTATACAAATTGAAAGATCAACCCATACTATGAACTATTTTAAATATATATGGTATATGGCGATTACAGTTCCAATTCTTATTTAAATAATATTTGACAATATGTTTATAGTTGTTGAATGACTTCATTTGGAACTACAACTATTGTTTTGAAAAAAAAAAATGTTATGTATTAATATTTTATGTTATGTACACTCGGATATAACTATAACTGAAACCTACGTCTCTGAACCAAATGCTGTTTAGAAAGTTTTATATATATTTATTTCGACTATAAATACAACTAAACGTCGCAAAATAAAAATGGATTTTGGTTCATTTCTAAAACAAATTCACAAAGTTATATTAAGACTGTAGTATAGAAATTCTCGGTTATATTCAAAGATTATGTTGTATGTGAAATAACACCTCAAACCACAGTGTTGAATGGTTAAAATCCCACTAATTTTTAAAGAAACAGACTTATTACTGGCATATGTAGATAATGTTTGCCAAATATAGCTTTATAAAAAAATCGGGTAGTATAAAGCAATATAAACATTTTTGTATGTACCTTCTGCTCAAAAAGTATCCGGATTTTGTTGTTTGTTAACTACTCCTTCAGTAATAGACCTTTTTGTTATGTTGATACATCTTTTCTTGACATATGGTACAAATTTGAGCGCCATCTGTCAATTAGTTTAATTACAGGAGCTGTTAATGTGAGACTACCTCAAATGCATTTAGCGATTTTTACTATGGAAAATTCTTGTTGTACGCGATTTTTTTGACCAAACACGGCACCACTCTCATCGCTCAGGCACCATATTCGCCAGATCTGGATCCTGTTCCCGAAACTCATATTGCACCTTTGTGGTAAGCGTTTTGAGTCGATTGAAGCAATAAAAGAGAATTCACTGAAGGAACTAAAAGCCATACCTTCACGGGACTACGAAAAGTGTATGGAAGATTGCGTTAAGCGTTGGCATATGTATATCGCTTCAAAAGGAGCATATTTTGAAGGAGATAAAATAAATTCGGAATAAAATTTAAATTTGTGTGTTTTATTTACAAAATCCTATGCTATGCAAAATATATTTTGATTACTTTTACTTATAAAAAAAAACAAATTAACATCGTAGTAATATAATTCTTAATCAAAAAGATACAATGCAAAATAAAAAATTATTATTAACAATTTTTTATAATAATAATATCGTATGTTTTGTAGTAGTAAGTGTTATATATTTTAAATATAATTTATTTTAAATATAGCACAGGTATTATCTACTATATATTATGTATTAAAATCTTTTTGTATAAAATAATTTGCATCTAACGGGTTTCATATATATATAAAATTTTTATAATTAATTAAAAACGTCTTATAAATATTCATAAATACTACAATTTTTTTTTTTATTAAACACGTGAAACATTTAATATGCGTTATAAAGACATATTTTATTATTAGTATTATCATTAATAATATTACGTATCTCATACAAAACAACTGTCAAAAATCAAATATAATATATATAAGTATATATGTGTTTTGGATGTGTTTTCTATAAAGCAGGAAATTGGAAATATAAAAATTTAATAAATCATTAACAATAATTATATTATAAAAAAAACTGCCTTTTAAGAGAATTTAACAGTTATAGAAAAATTAAGGCTAACTTAATTTCTTACTTTTATAAATGTTGCGTATGTTATGTTTCAACTTTTTAATTTATTAAATAAAAAATTAATAATTATAAGTTTTGTACTTAATATATTTAATTATATATACATTATATTTTGTTATATTTGGAAGTCCATTAAACTTACCTCAACGTTTTCGATGTCAAAGTAAGACAACGTCTTCTTAGTGAGTTCAAACCAACGCTGCTTGTAATTGACTGGAGTAAATCGTTTTTTGTTTTGAGCACGTTTCACCATAGAACCACTCTTAACAATATCGAATAAATGCTCTGACATTTTATCCATTTTACTCAGAAATGCTTTACTACTACGTGTAGTGCTTACGGATCGAACACTGCCTTGCATGGATCGATTCATATTGAAATGAAGACTACTTAAATACAATGGACTAAAATGACTAGTTGAGGCGAGGCTTAGACTATTTCTTAAATCATATATACAAACTATGTATATAACACATGAAAATATATATAGATATATATATTTCTTTTCTTTTTTTTTTTCATACAAAAATTTCACATATCGTAGAATTAAAAATTATGAAACGAAATGAAGTTCATGCTGAAAATAAAGAAATTGAAAATAAAATATTAATTCGTCTAAATTTATTTAAATTAATTTCGTTTAGAGTTAGAAAAGCAAAATATATAAAAAATATATAAAAAAATTTAATGTGAATTTATCGCTAATGTGGGTGTAAGCATTATTCGAATTAAACGATACAAAAACATTAAAAAATTAAATAAAAACAAAAAAAAAATATTCCCACAATTAAAGGCTTCCTATTTAAGTATATTAACAATTCCAAAAAATTTATTGACATGATTTTAATATTGAAAAAACTTAAAATAACAGTTTTGTCTGATCCACCGAATTGCGTGGGTAGTTGGCGAACAAAATATTTAAATTAGATAAATTAGATATGAACTTTATTAATAGATATATAACTTACAAATAAATAAAAAATCCGAATTAATAAAATATAAATAAAAGAAAAACTAAGTGAAGTGGTCAATGACTTTCAAGTAGGTAATTTGTAATCACACAAGTCTTCGTTCAATAATGACACTTAAATTATAGAATACTAATAATACATACTCGTATACTCGTATATATGACAAAGAGAATAATCAAAATTGATTAAGAGCTTCTTGACTTTACAGCAATAATTTCGTTAATAAAACTCGCACTGGATTAAACAATAAAAAGAACGCAGAACCGGAAGTTAAAAATAGAGTTCTTCAAAGAAAATTATACTCAAGTATCTTACAAATATATATAGTACAATTCTTTGCAAAATAAACTATTTATTATAATGTAACATTATATATTAATACAAGAAATATATTATACAAATACACTACAAATATAATCATTTAACCCTGGATCCCTGACTGGAACCTGAGACCCTCAACTGAAATACCCAGATTTATCAATATTACCAACTTAATAATAATCTAGTTACTAAGCTAAAATGAACAATACGTGCCAATAAAAATTCAAAGTGATCTAAAAACTAAAAACAAGTTCTCAATACACAACAAAAAATCTTAATTCGGAACTGTACTGTCCACAATTAAACCTGCACTATCTGAAGAAAGCAATCGCCCAGAAACGATTAGCTTTTGGCAATAGGGAAAGAATTGTATTCTATCAAAACAACGCCAGGAGGATTAGAGCTTCTATGAAAGAGGAAATTCCTTTCAAAATAGCAATAGGTTATCGAACAGAACGGTACATATTTCACCTAAATCGGATCACTCTAACAAGAGTAAATAAGCATTAAATTTTCTGCAAAAAATATGGATTTCTTTTTACTACATTATTAGCGTAAGCGATTGTAAAGCAAAGAAACCTGAAAGATCAGATCTAACTTCACAATTGAGACTAAAGTTCATAAAGATAGATATATGCAAACTATTTTCAAACTATTCAGCACGAGAAATATGATTGGTCAATCAATAATCGGTGGTTTAATAACAACAGCTACAATTAAGTAATGAACTAACGATTCACACATCCTACCAGGATAAAGGAATATAGATATGTCAATGGTTAATTGTAAATTTGCCATCAATATAAATATGAATACATGAAAGATTATAAAATTATTTATAAGAAATCTGACAACCCCAAATCAGATTTCTGACTTGGGGTTGTCGTGAGAATAAATGACAAATCTCTAGCAAAAACGGTGTTTAAGGCGGTAGTCGGAGAAACAAGGTATAAAGATGGACTGTCTTTTCATGAGAGATCGCTATCGCACTTGATCTACAATATTGAAGAAGAGAAGCACACAAAAGAAGCGCAAGTAAAAGAGCGCTGTGTCAGCCTAAAATCCGATTAAAGGCTGTTTTGCCCTGTTGTTATAAAAAAGTCAAGCGGGCTTAAATCTAGAAATAATTTTGGTTACTTTTTGCATATAAAATTCAAAACTATTTACAATAAAATTTAAACACAAATATTCCTAACTCTTCTAAATAATAGAGATAGCTGTCATTAGATGCAACATGAAGGGCTTTCAATTTAGCCACCAATTTGAAAGTCATAGCAGCTTGAGACTGCTTAATCTTTATGAATTTTAATTTATAATTTTGTAAAATAATATATAATTTTAATATACATATTACTTTTATTATATCATTAAAAAGAGTAATTTTGATTTAAAAACTTTTAAAGTTTTAAATAGAATATCAATTATTTCTTCCACAATACATTCACATAATCGACATAGTCACTTAAACAACTGACCTTACATTGCTGCTTCTTGTCATTTATTTATTCACCGACGACCTCAGATACATTCTGATATTTCAAGGTCAATCAAAAACCAGTACCAATAAAGAATGGCTAGATAAAATTGTCCAGCTTAAATTCGACTTCATTGCTGGTGAGTTGTATAGATTGAGTCTCTTGCAAGCTCACCTAACTGCATTTAGTTACGCTGTTAAGTTAAGCTGTCATTTCAGACCACATCCGTGGCCACAAAATCTGCTCAACTGCAACTGCTTAACCGTAACTTAAGGCTATACTTAGATTAATTGAGCGATTAATCGTACGATAAGTTGAAATACTTGTTGTGTTACTATGTCCTCAGTCAAATTTATTATTACGCGTATTTCATATAATATTTCCTTTATCTATCTCCCTTTATTTAGTCAATTAAAAAGATTATATTCAAAAGCATACCCTTATCAACAGCTCAAAGAATATCAATTCCTTGATTTATTAACAAGCAAAGACATTTTCATTTATTTCTCATTTGAATCATAATTTATATTTCAATTAGGTATTTATAAACATATTAAGTGCAAAGCAAAAAGTATCTTATCTAAAAGTATCTTAAGTAAAAAGAAATAAAACACCAGAACAACGTAATGCGCTTGTTGAAGCAAGTCATGTTTGAGTGGCTACATTTGTTAGGAAACAGAGTAACCATCGAAAATGTGTTATACAAACTGAAATATCTTATTTAAAAAAATATATCTAATACATCCCATTTGTGTACTCCTACTGACAATATTTTTAAGGATAGTTATGGATGTTTTTTATTTATATTTTATGTTAAAACAATATGTTATCATATTGTATATCATATTATCATAATATCATACATATGTATAATCCACATATTATCTCAACAATTATCAGCAGTTTTTGAATCGCAAATTTCACAAATATCAAGTAAAATTTAAATGAGTTTTTAGCTATACGAAATGATAGTTCCACCCTACAACAAATTCTCTTTCTTTACTAGTTTTGAGATATTGGAACACAAAACAACAAAATTCCATTAACTTTTGATTTGAATTTTACTACAAGTACGTACACGAACTCAGGAAGAAACTTTCACCATCCTGAGAGCATGTTCTCTTACTGCGAACATTAACTTTCACGAAGATGCAGTATATATTATTACGGATGGTCAGGCAGCTATTAAAGCTGTATTGCTACTGTAGTACAAAGCAGCAGGTCGAAAGTAGTTTGTATAAGCGAATAAGCTAGCTAGACTAAGTTTCTCTTCTATGGAAACTACCGAAGGTTGATTTATAACCATTTTTTGCGACAGTCTAACAGGGAGTCAGATCAAGGGCAATATGACCAATTTACTCCAAATGTAGAATCTCCGATTTCGTACACAGAAACAAATCAGAAGTATAACATGGACGTTATGGGGTCAAGATTGGTCTGCTTTGTAGTATCTCCTGTAGCACATGTCTACCAGTGGTCCAAGAAAAGACACCAAAACATCTGTTGTGCTTATAGCTATGCTTGTCTAGTACTAGGGTTAAGCTATTGGGTACCCCATTATTTAACAAATTCGGCGATATTTCCAGCATTAGCAATGGTTAGACATTCATTTTTTTTAATGCTTCTGGCTGATTTTAACATGACAATTCGTCTACCCACAATTACTGTAAAACTGTTTTTTTTCGCTAATTGAGGAAGTACTGTTCCTCCCTTCAATTCACCTAACTTAATTAAACACAGAGCAACAGAAACCCTTTAACTTAACTGTTATCAGTGGCGCATCCAAGAGAAGTTTAGGACTTTGCTTCCGACCCCGATCAAAACAAATATTTTATAGCATAATCGTTGGCTACGCTATTGGACTAATAGACTGTTGATCTAGAATTTAAAATATAGCAATATAGAACTCTGAAATTTATTTAAATCTATAATTTATAATTAACAGATACATGAACATTTAGGAATACAAAAAAAAACAAATATTTTAGATTTCTGCGTGTAATTTTATTTCTAAGATACATTTTGTTATTTATTTTATTCTGACAACCTTTTTGGATTTGGGTTATGAGTATTGAAAAAAAAATAAGAATTTAAAAATAAAAACAAAACCTGGAGAAATAGCCATGCGAAGGCAAACCCAAAAAAAAAACCTAAAAATGAATTGTCAAGAACCGGCCTTTGAGCGCTTTCGAAACAAGTTTGAAGATACTTTAGCGGCACACGTACTGTTTTTTATCACTTTTTCATTAATTTTTTTATAATTTTTTTAACTGCATATATTTGCACATATATTTTAAATATATTAAAATTTTTGTTTTGGCATTTCCTGGAATTTGCAAACTTTTTAATCAATTAATAACAGTGGTTGTTTTACTTAATAAACGTCAGCATATCTTACTGAACACAATCCATTTAGTTCGTATGGGATTGCTCGGTGTAGAATTATTGAATGGAATGTAAATTCAATTAATGGTTGAATTATTTTGCAATAAACATAATAAAAATAATGAATTTTTAAATTAAATTTTAATAAAATTATAAATATATAGTTAAGCCACAGAAATTTATTAGTAGTGGTTGTGAGTTTTTGCAACTGCAATAAAAAACAAAATACAACAGTTCAAAGCCCCCCATAATAGCAAATGATGATGTCTTTTATTTTTGAAGAAGCTCAGTAAATTGGATAATAAAATAGAATACCATAAAGTTGGAGAAAAAAGTTAAAATAATATAT